TAAGGAAATGAGTCAGTTTGTCCTCCAGTAGTCTAAAAGCCTATAGCAGCATAACAAACCAACCCTAATTATAGGATTTATCAAAAAGGAAATTCTTAAGCCCAGTCTTAAAACTGGACAATGTGTCAGCCTCATGGACAAAAACTGGAAATTGGTTCCACAAGAGAGGAGCCTGATAACTGAAAGATCTTCCTCCCATTCTGCTTTTTGAAACTAGGGATCACGTGTAAGCCTGCAGCCTGAGAGCGAAGTGCTCTGTTAGGAAAATATGGAACAATAAGATCTCAAATATGAAATGGAGCTAGGTTGTTGAGAGCTTTGTAGGTTAGAAGTAAGATTTTGAATTCAATTCTAGACTTGACAGGGAGCCAATGGAGATAAACTAAAACTGGAGAGATATGATCTCTCCTACTAACTCCAGTTAAGACTCTGGCAGCAGCATTTTGGATCAACTGAAAACTTTTTAAAGAAGTATTTGGACACCCAGATAATAAGCCATTGCAATAGTCCAGTCTAGATGTGACAAATGCATGTACCAGTTTTTCTGTATAATTTTTAGATAAGATGTTTCTAATTTTTGTGATATTACACAGGTGGAAGTAACATTTTTAATCTGGGGGATAAAAGACATGTTCTGATCAAAAATAACACCAAGATTTTTAACTTTAAAGCTGGAGGCCAGATTAATGCCATCTAAGGAGGGCGGAAGATGGAAAAAAATAATTCCTAAGATGCTAAAAACTGAAACCTCTGTCTTGTCTGTGTTCAAAAGCAGAAAATTTAGGGTCATCCAGGTTTTTATGTCTTTAAGACATACTTGTAGTCTAAGTAGCTGTTTGGATTCATTGGGTTTCAAGGACCAATATGTATATCATCAGCATAACAATGAAAATTTATCCCATGCTGTTTAATTGCATTATCTAATGGAAGCATATACAAGGTAAAGAGTTTTGGTCCAAGCACTGAACCTTGAGGAACTTCATGACTAACTTTCGTGTATGATGAAGATTCATTATTTACATTACAAATTTGAATCTATCAGATCAATATGATTTAAACCAATTTAGAGCTGTTCTTGTAATTCCAATATCATATTCAAGTCTATGTAAAAGAATATTATGATCATCTGTATCAAATGCAGCACTGAGGTCTAACATACACAACATGTTACAGTGGAGGTTAATTCAATAAATGACCAAACAACAGCCTTACGACTCAAAAGAGGCAGCAGTGTGGCTGCAGGAGTTTGGGAAATCACTAATATGTTGACTTTCTGAGTGAGAGTAGAGTACAGACAGTGTTTTCTGATTTTGCTTCCCTCACATGGGCATGTTGGCTCAAGGATAAATCAAGTTTGCCCCATTCCTCTTCTTTACGTTATAAAAAGAACAGAGCAAGCTCAAGAAGGTGCATCAGTCGCACACTGACCAGAGTGAACAGCCTCTCTAATGTTTACATGTTGGGAAATTTGTCTTGTCCCGGTGATAATGTGCATGGCTGAGTAACTAAGCATGAATGTGGTTTACAAGGGTGAGTTTGGAACTGATGTGGTCAGACCAGCAGATTTCTGAGCACAGAGCAGCAGAATTGATTGTGTCAAGGGGCCACTTTCCACTTTATGCCTGTATCTGACAGTCTCTAATTTTGATTTATATTCACTGGCAAAAAAGTTGAGCAGCCAGGCAGAGTGATGGAAACAAAATGAAACTGTATGTATAATAAGGTCAAATGACTTGATGGCAGTCATTTGAATGGCTGATCAAAAGTAGTTGGTAGTATGAGGACACAGCTGGTGCAAAGTCAGTTAGGGAACAGACCCATACAACTGATGTATGTTGGCCTACAGATGAGCTAATACTTGAGATTTGGCAGATTGACCTCAGCATGACAGAAAGTCCATAGAAGCATATTTGGATGGGCATTGTCTCATTGAAAGACTGTGCCGTGCTGTTTTAGAAGGAGGTAGACATGCACACACAGGAAGTCACTGACATGGTGATGTGCCAAATCACTTCTAGACATGAGCTGACGTCATACCTGGACTTCCTGCACATGTTTGTCCACAAGGGGTGCATCAGGTGGAGGAGTTCAAGTGACTGGATGCCTTGTTCATGGGAGATAGTAGGTTGGAGCGGGAGATGGATCGATGAATTGGGGCCCCATCCTCTGTAATGAGAGTGTTGCATGGTCATTCATGGTGAAGAAAGAGGTGAGTTGTAAGGCGAAGCTCTCTACGTACTGGTCTATCTACGTTCTGAACATCGCATATGGTCATGAGGTTTGGATCATGACCGAAAGAAAAAGATCCCAAATACATGTGACAGAAATGGGCTTCCTTCACAGGGTGACCAGGCTCAGCCTTAAAGATAGGGTGAGAAGGTCCATCAATCAGAGAGAGCTCGAAGTAGACCCTCATCAAAAGGAGTTAGTTGAGGTGGTTCCCACATCAAGTTGCTGGAGGAATGGTGCATCTTCTCAGGTCTGGGAACACCTTGTTCCCCCAGAACAAGTTGGAAAGTGTTGCTGGAGAGAGGGATATCATGGGTTCCTCTCCTGGACCTGTTGCCTCCACAACAGAACACTTGGTGATCCATGCGGATGCCCTCACATATTCATTGGTTCCAATATTGGACCACTGTGATGTTTATAGGCTACACATGCTGGGCAGCTGAATGACCTGACCTCATGCATAACCATATCAAACTCCATCATGCTGTCTAATGCATCAATGTTACATCATCAGCTGACACTTTGGCTGACTATCAGATGCTCCTGTAACTGCCTTATAGCACTATTGCTCTTCTTGTGATGACACCACTTGTGCCCTCTGGTGCTTTTTCTAGATTGGCCAGGTACTTGAAAATCAAATATTTTATTTTCCTATCACTGGTCTGCATTAGGAACACACTAGACCAGGGGTCTGCAACCTTTACGATCAAAAGAGCCATTTTTACGCCTTTGTTCACTACATTAAACGTGTCCAGAGCCGCAACAACCTGCTACAACTGTAGTTATTAACTGGTGGCTGGTGAGCTACTTTAGGTTTGCTGGAGGGGGCTTTTGTGGCCACTAGGGGTGACATAAAACTAAACATATCTAATGATTTTAAACATTTATTAAAGAAAAAGACCAGATTCTTGTAGGGGGGGGGGGGGGGGGGCTATTTTTTCCTTTTTTTAATAAAAAAAACTCAAACTATGCAGACAGTTCTTCATATAAAGAAATAAAGCATCAAGTTAAAGTATGTTCTACTCTTGTAATCGCTGTTCACATATTTGCAAAAGAAATGACAGGAGAACTGTTTGAACGAATCATTTTTTGTTGTTTGTATAATCAATAAAATTCAGTTTTATGTCAGTTTTGGTCAAAGCTTGAAAGAGCCGCTGCAGAGGGACCAAAGGGTCGCATTTGGCTCCAGAGCCACAGGTTGCAGACCCCTGCACTAAACTATATCTTCTGGGTGCTAATCTTTTCTTTTTTTTTTGCCAGTGACTGTATTTGTACTGTAGTTACATTTAGAAGATAATTGTACTATTTTGCACCATAAAAACTTGTTTCATGGTGTCTCCACGTGTTTTATTTACTTTACGATGATTTTCACCTGGTCAGTTAAGTTTCCCCAACATCTTTTTTTGTGGGAAATGTTACCTCTAAATTCTCTCACATGCTGATTGTGCTTTTTGTTGTTTAGGATCAAACAACTGGAGTGTTTATCGTGTACACAATCAAATTAAAACCTTTGGTAACACTTTACAATAAGGTACACAAAATTTGATTAACTACTAGAGAACGCCTCAGGAACGAATCAGGGACAAAAGAGGAATTAATAGGTAGTTAAGCAGTACTTACTGGGAAACACACAGCCAAGCCTTATTAGGGGATTACTGGTTAGTTACTTGGGAAACGAAGAAGAACTAATCAGGAACTAATGAGTAATTAACATGGAAACCAAAGGGGAAAGAATCAGGAGCTAATGGGTAGTTAAGCAGTTCTTACTGGGGAACACACAGCCAAGCCTTATTAGGGGACTACTGGTTAGTTACCATGTAAACAAAGATGAACTAATCAAGAACTAATGGGTAGTTACCAAAGAAAATAAAGAGGAATGAATCAGGAGCTAATGGGTAATAAAATCAGTAATCACTAGGAAACAGGTTTTTGACAAGTATAAGCTGTGACCTCACTGGTGCAGGGTTTATTCAGAACCTACATGGGTAATTTCTCCTCTATTTCTGTGGTAACAAACCAGTAGTCTCCAAATAAGACTTGGCTGTGTGTTCCCCAGTACTGTTTAACTACCCATTAGCTCCTGATTCATTCCTCTTTGGTTTTCTTGGTAACTACCCATTACTTCTTGATTAGTTCCTCTTCACTTACAATGTAACTAACCAGTAGTCCCCTAATAACGCTTGGCTGTGTGTTCCCCATTAAGTACGGGTTAACTACCCATTAGCTCCTGATTTGCTCCTTAGGCGTTCCCTAGTATTTAAGCAAATTTTGTGTACCTTATTGTAAAGCGTTACCAAACCTTTCATTAACTCTCCCATAGGCAAATAAAACAAAAATAAGCAAGCCCACATTTCTGATGGTAAAATTATTTCTATGTCTGGCTTGAAAACAAAACTCCTCTAACCTACACTTCCAGCTCACGCGCCATCCTTCCCCGTGCGCGCCCACTCACTCCTTCCTGTAATCTCCCATCTGCGCTTCTCCTCCTCTGTGATGGGGCTGGTGAAGTCACTGCAGCCACTCAGTGTCGGGCTGAGGCTGGAGGAGCGCAGCTCTCTGTGAGCTCCACGGTCCACGAGAGTCCTGGCGCAGTCCGCTCCGGGGGGACAGATGCAGCAGGAGACCGGATGGAAGTACCACCATCCTGAGGACATGCTCCTATAAGGGTTCTCTGTAGCCTGAGGCGGACAAGTTTACTTTCCTTCCTCCTCTGAAGGGGGATCTCTCTCCGTATTTCAATTTGTCAGAGCCGACCCGCTCGTCCAGCACCCATGAATTCGGATAAAAATGTGTACCTCTGCAGGGACAAAGGCATCATGCGGAAGAGAGCCCTGCTCCTTCGGAAGGGCTGCAGCTTCGAGATAACCAGGTAGGTCTCCTTCAGGGGTTTATTGTTCTTAGGATGGGGATTGGATTATTGTGCGGGGCTTAATCACACCAGACGATCGCTTTCTCTGTGTATTGTATGGATTTGCCATTTTCCGCCTGGGCGCGCGTAGAGAAGAAGAAGAAGTGGGATGTCCTGAATGTGTCTGCGAGGAGCAAAGTGGTTTCATGTTTTATGCTGTTTGTGTAACATATACCCATCCGCTGCTCTCCTTGTAGTTTGATTCGTGTTGATCTGTGCACCTCGGCGCCGTGCGTAACCTCACCGGACCGACGCGCTGCGTCTGCACCTGACTCTGCGATGTTACCAAAGGTGGAGATATTTTGTGAATTCTCAGGCCAAATTAGAAGCAGATTTGATTTGTATATGGCTGAAAATTTAACCTTATCCTTCATTAGGGGAAAATAAAATAAAATAAAATAAAACATGTAATTTGGGTTCTCTTGCAGTCACAGAAAGACAGGGTGACTAACCGACCACATAAATGGCAGCTGGTACAACTTCCCTGCATGACATGACTGGTTTTGTGAGCCGTGGCCTCTTGTGGTCATCCCCAACAGGATGACACAGCTGACATGTTCTGCGTGCTTCTGCTTTGTGTGCGTGCGCGCGTGTGGCACCTCTCCACCACAGATTGGTGGCTTGTTCAGCTGATGTCACGTTTTCCTCTTTGCATATTCCTTTCCACAATGTTTCAGCTCAAAGTGGTTTGCAAAGAAATTGTAACACTGCTGTTTCTTTATGCTACGTTACATCTCAATTAACTAAATGTATTTTTTTTAAGCACATTTAAAACAACTAGAGTGCAGAAAAGGCAATAAAATCAAGTAAAAACTAATATGTGCAGTTTAGGCTTAGTTCTTAGTCATCTGCTTTTCAGTGTCTGGCATTCTTTGTTTCTTTTTCTCCTGTTTCCCTCAGATTCAGATTGTTCTGCTTCACACCTGTCACTCATTCTGTCTTCATCCCAGCCTGCTCAGTGGAGCTGCTCCCCCATTCTTTTTTAAACTGGGAATACATACATATGTTTCACTCCCATAGTCTTTGACTTATAAACATGTTATCACTCCACAAATTAATACCAAGCCTGCAGTGTTTATCAATTTTAATTTTACTTTCTTGGATACAAATAAGTACAATGAACAAAATATGACTCACACCCTTCCTTCGTTTGGATGGGATTTAAAAGCTCACAATGTCCATTACTCCAACTAAGTAAGTCCAGTGGATGGTATCACTGTTTGCCCTCCAGACACACTTTTATTTCTTATTTTGTTCATTAATAAATAGATGTCCATGAGCGCAGCTGCATTCATCTGTAATCATCCGTGCATGTCATATCACAGTTCCTGTTCAATCCCATTTTTGTTGCAACCTGCCTGTCTGTTATTTATTTTGTGTATAGTGTTTTTTTATTTATTTATTTTTTGTACATGCCTGCTGCATGCTTTACAACCATCCACTGGTCTTGGCTGTGTTTGGACTAGCTGTTGGACATAATGTTCCTCCTGACCGAGGCCGTTCAGAAAGATATCTGTAACAGGTTTGACATTATTTGTTCATAAATTAAATTACTCACAAAAAAAAAAAAAAAAAAAATCAATTCAAAATGTCTAAAATTTCCCATTAAGGATAAAAAACAAAACAGTAATTATTTTCAGTTGTGCAAATGCCTAATTTAGACTAATTTTTGGGCTCAATATTCACGACGTTTCACAAATTAGTGATAAAACGATATACTGTGTCTCCGACAGCAGTGGTGGACAATCCTGGTTCTCAAGGTCCGCTATGTTTTAGATGTTTCTCAGCTTTGCTGCACCTAATGAGTGAATCTGAAGATCTGCTGAAGGGAAACAACTAAAACATGCAGGATAGCGGCCCTCGATGACAAGGATCGGACATCACTGTCCTACAGCAATAGTGTCCGATCCTGGTTCTGGGGGCTACTACTACTGCTTTTCCTCTTCAGCATGCCTGTTTAAATAAATGGCTGATTAACATGTTCTGCAGAACATGAAGAAATGCCAAGGAGGAACTTTAGCCAGTGAGTCAGGTGTGTTTGAGATGGAAACAACTAAAATGTGGATGGTAATGACCCTCATAGTCCGGGATTGGTCACTACTGTCCTACTGCTTCAAAAAAGGTTCATGATCCACAATGACAACTTGGAAAACCAGAGTTGTCACATAATCAAGTATTTCTGGTTAAAAACGAGTAGCTTGTAAAAAAAATTTTGACTGACATATTCCAGTATTATCTTGTAGATTAGCGCTCGTCCAGACCTTGTCCTCACTCGTTCACTCTAATTTTCCCTCTATTTTAGGCAAACCATTCATCTGCACAGAAGGATAATTCTCATAACTTTCACTTCATTACTCCTAATTCTTCATCCCAGTTTGAGTGTGATGATGAAACTCGTAGGACAGCCAGGTCTCGCTCAAAGTGCATGTGGGGGTGAACTGTGGTTCCTTCAAATTACACGTCCCTTCTAATTAGCCTGATCTAGGCTGAATATAGCGAAACAAAACTTGCTCCATTTCTGTAGTCCATTCAGAGTCACATTGAAAAGCTTTCTGGCAGTTTGTCTCTCAGACCCGGGCGGTTTAACAGACAATCAATCAAAGCTGGCTGTGAAGTGCCGCTGAATGGGGCAAACAGATTCTCCGGCGATGAGCTGGAACACAGGCTTAAGTAAAGAGCTGCTGCTGAGAGGCCTGTGGATGTTCTATGTGCTGCTGGGTGCATTATTGTGCACACTGAGGGCTTTGTAACAGGGAAGGCTTCATACTGTATGTTAGATATTTATGCACACAGGCTGGCTGAGGAGTTTCCACATGCTTGTCAGTGGAATTATGAAGTCACCATTGATCTGCCTTCTTTGCGTCCTCCAGGCTTTAGATGGTCTCAGTGTGGAAAACTTCTAGCACCTTAAAATAGCAACTGAAAATTGTTCCATTATTGATCAGTCTGTTGAGACTTTTTGACTGATTCAGTCTTAATCTAATCTGATAAGTCTTTCCAACGTCCTGACTTTTCTAACAAAAAGCCCAAAGCACCTTTCTTTTACTTAACAACAACAGCAAAATAACGGATGACTTGCAGTTTTACAACTAAATGAGCGAAACTTCTGCATCAAGCAATCAGTTTGTTTTATCTCCGGAATCCACTAAACTAACAGAGCGAAATTGACACGAGTCGTGCTAATCTCCCGTCATTAATCCGTTTAGCCACAAACACGTCCCGTTTATTATTTACAACCGTGGGCACCATTTCCTCATGACTAAGCGTTATGTAACCAAGTCAGCAAACTGCCAGCTGGCGGATGCTCTCTGTGACAGCAGGTAGATGCAGCGTTGCAGGTGGAAGCGGAAAACTTGGACGGCTTCCTGGAAGCAATTATTGGGTCATTTTCCTCTGCGGTGCTGGATTTGCTGGTTGAGAAGTGCAGATGTTTGTTCACCTTCTTGGCATGTTGCACTTGCAAATGGAGTTCTAGGTCTCAGTACTATTCAGGATTTTAAAGGGAAACCTGTTTCTAGATCTTAGCACCAACTATGCATGGACCTCCACAGAGATGTGGATGAAATCAGCTTCAAGGCCACTATTGTCTAACCAGGTGTTGGCATCTGGAGTAATGCAGAGTGTAAATACATGACACTTGGATTGTCGTCACCTATAGAATTCATTGCAGTCCAAGCAGTTTGCACACAGTGATCTAGTTTGGATCTATCCTGCAGCCACAATGAGCTGTGGAGAACTCATAAGATGGAACTTCACAAGAGTTTAACGGCAATTTAATGAGACAACTTTCACCCAGTTTTATGCAGCACAGCTAGACTTGTTAAGATTTATAGAGTGCTTCCTAAGTGGGTTAAATCGATGTCATGTCACTACAGACTAATCAAACAGGAATATTGTGTTAAAGCCATATTTTAAAAGTTTTTTAATGCAGCCTCAGTTGCTAATATCAATTCAAAATCACTCCATTGTCCAGTTAAGTTGAGAAAACACGCTCCATGGATAAATGGACACACGATTTGCTCCAACGCTTCATAAAAGGTTGCACAGATTGTTTTATTCACCAGTTTGGTTGTGAGTTACTGACCATCCTGCTGTTGTACCTGCGCTATCTTGACCACTAAATATGACCCGAACTGTTACTTAACACATGAACACTGACGTCACGAGTGCCCCATAAGACTTTATTGTTGACTAAAGAGAGAAAATGTTTGGGTATCTGTGCAAACAGTTAAATAATTAGGAGCATGCAAAACATCTAGAATAAATTTGTCGTAAAATATAAAATGCATAAAATATGAATACAAACATATTAACAAAGAGAAAAAGTTGCAAGTTTGTAATTGTTCTTACTGGAGCAGCATTTTCGGGTGTACTGGAGCGTTCATAGACTCTTCTGTCATCTTTTCTTACATGCTTTTACTTTATTTGTGCACTCTTTAAACCACAAGCACAGAAATACAACAGCTTATAAAAGACTTAAAGATCTATACTGCTTATGTAATGTGGGAAAATAAATAAAACAGTAATAAGAAGAGCTATCGAAATATAAAACGAAATGAAAAGCATGAAAAGGAGAAGATTGACATTATATATTTATTTGTGCCACAATATTTATTTTCAAAAAGTAATGTTGCATTTTCAGTTTTGAACACTCATTATATTGTCACAAATATGAACTCAAGAGATCAAATTTCTATTCACAAGTCTTTGCACGTTGACTTAAACCATTAGCAATCTTTCAAGTGAAAGACCTGCGCACAAGTTTACAGGAAACATCTCAGACTGGTGCACAAAATCACATCCTTTAAAATCCTTTAGGTAATATACAAATTGTGTTCCTCATTCACACAAACTCAGTATTTTTTATTAGGGATGGACGGATCCACTTTCTGCACTTCCGATACCGATACCGACACTTGATGTATATCGATACCGATCAGATACAGAAAAGCAGAACTGAA